ATATCAAGCACGTCCTTCATCAAGGGCAGGAAGCATAGTTTATGTTTTGCTTGAAACTTGTGGAAGACTTCGTGATTTTTGTTTTTATTTAACCATTAGTTTTACTGTTTAGAAATGGTTGTAGACCTTTGATTGTAGTAAACTTACTGACCCCCTCTGATAAGCTTTGTTTGATTCGTGAAGAAAAGTAAATGTTCACAGAGATATTGACAATCGAAATTTCACATTTTGCAATAAGTCATAATCAATACAAGCATTTGGTAAAGGAAGAGACCTCTTCAACAATATTATTGAAGCAGTACAACGGAATTGGCACCACCTGACGGCCCCTACATTGTGTCTTCGCATTGGTCTTCCAACATGTATGGGTTACAGTAAATTGACAAGTGTATATGAAAATAAGCCAGTTAGAAATACATTTTATTAGCCTTTATTACACAATATTTGAACATTCATCGATTTACAAGTTCAAATGACAATTACGCTCCAACACCACAAACACCACAAATGCTATGATACTGTTAGTTGTCATTTTGGCGATTTATGTCTTCGCGCCTTACCTCGTATGGGTCTGATGAGAAATCAGCGCCTTCTGGTTTTGACTACGCTAGCCTTGGCAGCCAAACCCTGGCTGTTGCTGGCTGCCAGCGCTCAGAAGCCAGAGCCAGAAGCCTCAGAACCTCAAAACAATTTACTGCACTGTCATTCAACCAAACAAGTTGACAGCCCCCTCGCCCTCTCGCACATTGTTCCAACATTGTTCAATTTTTAAATTTATGTTGTATTGTAAGATATCAAGGTAAGAATATGTAGGTATTATGTTTTTGCGTTGCTGGATCTTTACTATTTGGCTTCTCTTCATACTACACCTATCAGCTGCAAGTAGAAGAGTTAAACAGGATCAGCAGAGGCATAAATTGTTGTATTTTTTTATCCCTTGTACCTCTAACATTTCTGTCACTGGCCCTTTTTTAAATGAAGAAATGCACAAACACAATAAGCTGATAAAGCCATTCATTTTATTCATGAGGACTCTTTGCACTGATGTGTGGTTCTTTTATTTTCTTTGCAGCCATGCCACTACATCTCTTTTTATTTCCTGGGCAGTCACCTGGAAGTGTTGTGTACCATGGGGGAGACGGCTTTTTCTACCATAAAGTAAACAGTCGCAACGACAGAAAGTTTTCTTACCTGCGTTGTGTGCACAGAGACAACACAACCATCTATTGTTCAGGTTCTGCTAAAGCACTGTTACATAATAGTGTTTTATTTCACCTCAAAGGACACTCACCCCGGCAATGTCCTATATCCCTTGGTGAAATCTTTAAAAAGGGGTAGGAGCAAGGGTGAAGATGGGTGACCAATCAGCATTCCATGAAATCATTCAACAGGAAGGGCAGAAGTTAGTAAAGAGATGTTTTGTTTTTCACAACAACACTTCAATTCTTAAAAATTCTTACTTTTAACTGTACTTACAGGTACTCCCCTGATCACGAGCTTTGGTACCAGTAGGGTCCATCCAGGCACATCTGCATGCAATTCGTTCCAGTCTGAGACCACCAGTTCCTAGGAACCTAGGAGTGCTTGGTGCCTCCCTGCTCCTTCCTCAATATCAGTATCTCACTCAGTGCTTGCATGTTCCTGAAAGCCTCTTTGCAGGAATGTGTGGTAGTTTACCAGATAAAACGTTGTCCTTGGTCTTCATTTCTCCCGAAATGAAAGAGTTTATGCAAACGAGATGCACTGTGAGTATTGCTGACCCTTGACGCCAATCTCAGTAAAT